GGCATAAATACACTTGCCTCTGTGGGTGTTTATAGAAAGCAGTCATTTTCTTAGCAGACCGTGACCATGAGTCAATCTAAATAGATGAAGTAGAATAGGATTAAAATAACCATAATGGGATATGTTGTAAAGAACGTTATTTCCTGATGGGCATTTTGTGTAGGAGAAAATTTCATTTTTTTTTACTAAATGCAAAGATAATTAGAAAAACTAATAAAGTGGACAAACAACATGAAAACACCACAATTGTGGTTAAATAGTTGATTAAAACTGAATTAAAAGAATAACTCGTTAAGCGAAAGACTGTATTTTAATGCAGTTTTCAAAAAGTAGCTCCAGTATATTGAAAATAGCAAATCCAGGGTTCCAACGAGCGAAGATTAGGATACCAAATGTTATTTAATTCTGTAGTTGTATTCTTCGACAAACCAACAGCCGCATGGCATAGCAAAGTTTAAGAAAATAACCACTTAAAATCTGTTCGTTTATTATCCAATTTGAAAGTGTTTGCGTTATTTGGGTTCGTTTCATACTGTTGAATATTTTATAAATTCAATCCCACTCGGCGCTAATGCGAAAACGAAAAATAATCGACAGAAATTGATTATTTCAGCCCACCATATCGGGCTGTTCATATCGGGTTTTGGATCAACTTAATTGGTAAAAGGTACGTGTTTAATTTCATAAACCATAAAAATTGGAAAGGCGACATGGTCGTTGTTAACATGCTCTTTCAAATTGCTGATGGCGTAATATTGGGTGGAAAAAAAACCACATGCGCCAAACGTAGCTGATTTCAGTTGCTAAACGCCTACCAAAGAGACTATGGTTTCAGTTACTTCACGGTTTGTTATTATACTGGTAGCTTCATTTCATCACAAAACCAAACGAAGAATCTCCATTAAGCAACCCGTCGGTCTGGCATTTGCAGAAAGGAAGCCGATATAATGTAATATAATGTTTAGCTATCTTTTCCATTGCTCAACATACCGAAAACGGATAGGCCAGATATTTACTAGTGGTTGCATAAAGACGAAAAAGGAGACACTTAAGCTGACCTAGTAAATGCTAGAAGTAGCGTTCAAACACGCTAAAAGAACTAGAATAGTTCGTCCAAATTCGCTTCAGCCTAGTGTTATTAGGAAGTGAAAAAGCAGGTTTAAGGCACTAAATCATCATTCGGACACCTGTGTGTAAGGCAAGACAATCAAGTAAATTATAGACTTTTAATGGAATTGTTATAGAAATGCACATTGTTCATAATTCTCTCGATAGTCTCATTATTAGTGCCAAAGTATGTCAAGTATGTTCGCTGATATTTCAGAAACGTTTCTGTTTAATCCCATATTAAAACATACAGCAGTTTTAATGCAAAGGCAGATTTTTCAAAATATGAAGCACATGAATAGCTAAATTAATTGAGAACTTTTTGGTTTTTTTTTTTAATTTATTCGAATGTAGTCGACAATTACTTAGGCAAGTATATAAAGTTAATTGCCAGTAATAAAATTACTCGCAATTAAAGCATAAAAAAGTAAACGATAATGGATTTGGATAAATAAACAAGCACAAAACAAAGAATAAAAATATACCCGAAGAAGAACATAAGCCTGTGATGCACCTCAAACTTAACTAATCGGGCAACAATAATTGAAAAACATGGAAAATGAAAAATAGAAACGTTGTGAAAACTAAATGCTAATGAGAAATACTTTATCAGATTTAAGTGACGAGGCAGAAGAACGAGGAGCACTTGTGCTGTATAAATAAATATTTTGGTAAATCCAGGTAGAGTCGATAAAATATTAAAAAAAACCGACATTTTGAGAGAAAAAAACGAAGAACAGAATAATAAATATATTGTTACAAATACCAATTGAAAAAGAGGTTTATCAGCAAATTTAACCAATCTGAAAACTGATGTAATAACATGCCCAAAAGATGAATGAAGGGAAATAAAATTAATCAATAAATTTAATTGATATAAGAGAAATAATTAAGTATAGAGATAAATTACACGTGGAACTTCTGAGAGGTGAAAAATAGACGCAATTAAAATATAACAAAGTCCAAACAAGCTACAAGATATACTTGATAATTACGATAAAATTATTAAACGATAAAACGATTAAATAGCGAATTTGGAGCAAGCCCAAATCAAAATGAAAGTACTAGTAAAAAAATAAAACGAAATTAGCTGGTATGAGCAGAGCAAAATATTATTTGGGTCAAGAAGAAATTTTTCACCTGAATCATAACGAGTAAATAAAGAAAGGAGCAACCGAAGAACTAATAAAAGTGAGGAACTTGAAAACAGTGTAGTTAAGCAAAGAAAATGGGGAAGTAAGGAAGTTATGCAGTGCAAACAAACATTTAACAACATTCAAAAAGAGCTGATAAAATACCAAAAACCAGATGCTTTAAAGGAAAAACAAAACAACATATTAAGAAATCATGTTCAAGTGTGAGTAAAAAATGTTCTAAGTGTAACTAAACGTAAATAAGAAAGACGTAATTGAATTTGAATGAGAAGTGGAAACCTATGTAAAATTAACAAATTTTTTTAACAGTGCAAGCAAAGACAATAAAACCAATTTAAAAAGCAGACATTCAGGAAAAAAAAACAGAATGAAAAATATATGTGAACATTAAAATGAAAACAACGTTATTAGCAAATCCGATGAATATTAAGTGAGTTATAGAAAATAAGACGAGCAGCAAAATATGAGGATAAAACTAGATAAAAATAGACAGATGATGATTTAACAATCATATATAAAATAAAGCAAGCAGGTGATAAAAAGCAAATAATTAACTGTAGCTCAAAATACACCAGAAAATTGAGAGAGAAAAGCAGTACACGTAACAGAAATCTAGCAAAAGATAAATAAGATTCCAAATTTACTTAACTTAATTAATTTAATAAACCTGTTAATTCCGATCCGAATTAAACGAGATCTTTAAAACGAGGATTAAAAATAATGAAGGAACGAAAGCTAACAAATGAAATTATAAACTAAGCACGGAACTTCGACCAGCATCCTAACGAGAAAAAAAATGGAGCAAAGGAGGGACTAATTAAATTTTTGTGAGGAACTATAAAATAGTTTACTTACTATAAAGAAATATTAACCTGAAACTGCAGACAGGGCCGATAAAATAACAAAAAAGGCTATTTTGAGAAAAATACATAAATAAATATATAACCATACACAAAAATTTAAAAACAAATAGTAAGAGATTCTGAAAAATATTGAAATAGATGAAATAACACGCACAAAATGTGAACGAATAACAGCTAATGATGCGCACCCAGATTAAAAATAGACAAGGGAAGAATCATAAATAATGAATGAAAGAAAAGTAACAAATTATGTTAAATAAATGATCTGCACAAGTAAGCCGAAATCTACACTCAGAAATTCTGAGAGAAGAGAAGTTTACCCAATTAAAATATAACACAGAAAATAAAATTTCAAATACATCTATAAATACAATAAAGGCACTCTTTAAATGGCGAATTGAAAGCTAACTTAAATCAAAGATATTTATTAAATTTGAATGAAAAACTAGAAAGATTAACAAATAAAGACGAAAACTCAGACTAGAAAGAAAGTAGATTGTTATTATTATTACATAACAACGATTAGAAAACAATTGAAAAGAGATTCGAAATGCTGTTTAAACAAATCCATCAAATATTGAACCTGATGTAAACCCTCACATAAAATAAGAATAACAGCAAACGATGAATAACATCAAACACATCGAAAATAGGAACTAAAGAAGGAATATAATTAATTAATTAGAGAGCGGCAAAAATATTTATGAGCTCACATAAAAAGAGACGATGCTTACACATTAAGAAATCAGTACGCTGTAAGTGAAGTAAGAAAATGAAGAATGAACTAAAGCAAAAACGATTGGAAAACGATAAAATAAAAAAGATTCTGAAATTTCAATGAATAGATCAATTTGGCAAAATGAAAGCTGGATAATGTTTGAGAATAAAACGGAAAATACCGGATAAAAACAGATTATTTTCAACTCATTGTATACCCGATGTAATAATCCAAACACGCTGACGACAGTAACTAGTTAAAACACTAAATAGAACAATAGCAATAATAAACCGAAATCTAAAAAATTAATGAATAAAATGAGAAACCTATTTGACCAAGGACGTGGAATCACAGTGGAATCAAAAGGAGATTTGAAAAATTAATAATAAATTGGAGTTGGTTCAATGAATAGATGAAACTCAGCCCAACTCGCGGACGAATCATCGAAATTTAAAGGAATTATACGAAATTAAAAATGTATTCGCAAATTCGAATTTCTGCGCAAAAACCAGCAGTGACCGTTGTACAAATTCGATCATAAATTTTTCGCTGAAATGAGTTCTTTTGTGTCAGCATGCGCTAACGAATAAAAACTTCATCTTCAACTAATCGAATTTTTTCAAAAACGTCGGCACCTGCTAGTGAAGATTGAACATTATCTGACTTAATTTTTTGTTTCCCAGCACGTTTGCACGTTTTTTTTATTTTGGCAACATTTAAAACTCTGTGCCCTTCTTTGGGGAGTTCTTTACAAATTATTTTCGGCGGGTGAAGAATGCAATTTAACGCTTTATTGCATTGTACCATATTACTGAGTATATCCAAGCTCATTAAAAGTGAAACAAATAATAATCGCCGAACATTTTTCATACAAAACTTGTATTGTTGGTTTCAACTTAAATATGCAAGGCGTCCGAAACCGATTTACGTACGTTTTGTTATTACTCCCATGCCAAATTAGGTGAAGAATTACAAGAGAGGTCAGTTGGTTCACGAATATGCGAACCATATTGTGAATGTAATTGAATTAGAAGATTTGTTTTAGAAACGGAATCCTCCAGCCTACCAAGCAACCGTTTCAAAGAGAGCAAAAATCGCGCAAAACCCACCTCTGAAGGTAATCAGGAAGAGATTTAAAGAAAAGTAACTGATAAATACCTTGGCATATAATCCAATCTACGGCAAATAAAAGCAGGACCGTCACATACAACCAACTATTTCCGCTCCTGCAACCCGGTTTCGGTAACATAATCATCATCAGGGAAAACACTGAAACTACACATTAGAAACGAAACACCTGTTTGTCGTTTGTTTTCTGCATTGCCCCGCGATTAGGAAAAGTAAGCACGGACGTCTTTGACGCGGACAAATACGAGGTTCGCGATGGTCTGGTCGCTCGCTCTACAAGAATTGAAAGTTAAGTCGGCTTTGGTTGGCTTTTAGGAGGGTTAAGTGGTTACTTGCGTGCTGGTTACCAGAGAATTAAAATCTGTTTAAAAGGACGCAGTTAAATGAAAAACCTTACTTAAGAGAAAAATTAAATAAGAAGCTCAAAGTGGCTCAAAAGCTCCATGTGTGCGAGTTTTAAGCCTCCGCAATCTTGACTTGCTAATTTTTGCCCAATACAGTGCTGAAGCACTTTATAGAATGAGATGAAGAAGCTTCAACCGACTGAAAAGAACTCTTTTGGAGAGCATTAGGAATTTACAGTAGAAGCAGTTAATATGTTTGTCCCTATTTATGTTTTTTCTCTCAAGCGGAAAACGAAATATATTTTTAATGTCCTTACAAAGAGAACGTTTTTTTAAGACAACGACATATGGACTATATTTTTTCAAATTTATCACTCATTCAATCTTTCAAAATATGGCGTTTAAGTGTAGAAAATTTAAATCGACTTTTTCAAGTTTCTCTTTTATTCAAATACTTTTTTATTTTATCAAGCCGAAAAAAACGAAAACTACAACCAGATAAGTAATTCTGTTCAACAAGGAAATATAATTTCTTCTACGTATAAAAAGAGTACTTCTAAATTTTAGCTAATTTTTAAATTGATTACTCCTTACATGATATGAAAAAAAAGAGTTCATCGCTATTATTTAACATATAAGTGCGGTTTTATTTTAGCTGGAGAAATTCAACAAAAATCCGCTTTTTCTGAAGACTTTCAAACTTTCAAATGAGTTCAATCGATTAATTTCGACCGCTCGATAAAGATTTAAATCAATAAACGAGTGTTTTTTCTGAATTTTCCTGCAAATCAAACAACTTACTTAAATAATCGAAAAATAAAATATCACCTGCAAAAATTTCCGCGTTTTTTATTACTAATTTGAATGCTCGGTTTGCAGTTTCATCGAAGTGTGGACGAATTTTCGAAATTTACAAACGGAAAAAATTAACAATTAAAATCCAAAGTTTTTACTTAGAAGGGCCTGAAGTCGACTATTTCCTTCTCATATTTCTTAGTTCGAGAAAGAATCGAGTGTAAGGACTGTTTTATTTAAATATATTATTAATATACACGGCGTTTCCTAATTAAGTACAAAAATGTTAAGGGCTGATTTTACGAGAAAAACTTAATATGAACATGAGGTCAAAAGTGTTTAATTTCCGGTCTATAAAGGTACTAAAGCTTATAAGATTTTATGGTTTTCATTTTTTATTTTCTAGCCAGATTCAGTATACCATCTGCGCTAATTAAGGGCCATTAAAAGGAAAAATATGAAGTTCGGCAGTCAGTCAGCGGCGTAGATAAAAAAGTAAAATTTGTATAACAACGAAGCATTTCTGCCTCCTTGTTCATACAACTATTTCTCATAAAATCAGCTCAGGAACACGCCTTTGAAATTTTCGTACTCAATCAGAAAGCACCCGGTCGATGCGTGGTTTATTTAAATCCGGCTCAAAAACATAAATATTTAATAATATTTCCAAATATTTAAGTATTTCCAGACTTTTTGGAAACCCTGTATATTGTTGTCGTTTCTCTCCAAAAAATGGACAGTGGCTAACGCTTTTTAATCAATTTTTCAGACTTTCACATTTTTCTCTTATTTAAAGACAATCTTTTTTAAACTTCCAAGCGAAGAACAGCGAAACCGTTCAACAGGAGACAAATCGATCTGTTGCAAGAAACAAGACAAAAAACATATTTTTTTGCAGTTTCTTCAAAATTTCGAGGCGTTTGACAGTGGACTTTGTACACTTCGCTTTGCCTTTGCATATTTACTTTTTAATTGAAATTTTTTTAATTATTTTTTTTACTTATTATAGCTTTTTTTGTTGAAAATTCTAGACAGGATTTCAGATCTAGACGAATAGAGACGGTTTCAGTTTTCAAAAAAACGCAAAAAACTTGGAGAGCGTCTAATGGTAAAAAATCGGTTGTTTCGCTAGAAACAGATATAAAAGTTCACACTATTTTTTAAGTTTTAAACTTTTTCTATTGAAGAAGAACTGAGTAGATTCATCAAGTATATCACAACCACAAAACTTCAATCATACCGAGCGCTCATTGCGCTATTAAGCGCAGAAAGCTTCATCTTTTTATTGTTGGTTAATTGCTATATAAATGCTTCTAAAATTTTCTTACATCGCAATTGAACCATGTTCTGCTTCAATTAGAGACAAAGAAATAATCGGCCTTTCGTTTCGTTTGATTATTTTTTATTTATAAATATTTTTTTTATTGATGAAGAGATAATAAGGTCTCTCTAAATTGATGAAGCAACCGGAGGAAACCATTTACCCAAAATCACACTGGCTAACAGAGACATTAAGCAAAACGGTTAACAAGGCAAGAAAAAACAGTCTGAATTATAACACAATATTTTGTGTCTCGAACATTTGTTTCATAGTCGGCCCATTGCATCATTGCCACATTTTGCGTTAATCTTCACCTTCGATCAGTTGGCATCTTGAGCGCGCAACTGTTTTCTCACTCCTACTCATGGACATTCTGGGTGTAGTCGATTTCACACGACGCGTCCTATTGAATTGTCAAATTCGACGTCATCCATCACTTGTCTTCATCTATGGTCAGCTATCTAGTCGCCATCTTTTCCATTTGCACCGATATTTCCACGCAAATTTCCTTAAATTTGGAAAACCGCTGGATACAAATTGCTGATTAGTGAACCGTTTGTGTTAGTGTACCTTAAAAGCAGCATAAACTATCTGGTCGAGTAAGTAACCAGCGTCTAACCTAAAAATTTATCTCGGCTGGTGAAAGCAACAGAAAGTTTCTCATTTAATTGTTTTGCAAATTAAAGGTCACAGCGAAATTGGCACACATCACTATGGCTGATAGTGACGACGAGTACGACAGGAAAAGGCGAGACAAGTTCCGGGGTGAGAGGGCGGAGGCCAATTATAGGGGCACTGATCGCGCTGCTAGACCCAGGGATGAATGGCCTGAACGGTAAGCATCTCTTCTAGGAATACGTATCAACCCCCCGAGCTATTACTTAAGTGCCAGTCCCCCTCAAATAATTGTTGAATTAGCAGTCATAAACGTGTTTACTATGTAGTTAATTTGATAATCTAAAATGTCTTGCTTAGGGAGAACTGGCCTAGACCTAGACCAAGGGAATACAGGCCCAGAGACAGGGGCTACTCACCAGGCATGGAGCCCAACACCAAACGCATGAGGCATGACTACTATGGAGGAGAAAGCTACTATAATCACTACCCATCTTATCATCAAGCGGCCCATAGGTGAGTTTGGCACTCACTTTGTTGCATTGTGTGGTTCAAAATATCAATTTTATAATGGGAGTTATTTTATTGATTACGTCCCATTCGGTCGGCTGCAGAATAATGTTCATTCGCAGGAAATTGCCTGCAGATAGAGCCAATTGTGTTCATTTCACCTGGATGTTTTTTAAATAGTGTGAATAGGATACCTACAGTTTCATTTCGTTGCAAAATCCTTGCGTTCCTAAATGTCGTGTAGGTACATGTATGATACGGTTAAACTTCGCATAAGCCGAGTTCAACCATTTTGCCTTCTTCATGTTGAATGTATTATTAGATACATTGTGAATAAACGATCACTTTCGAGCAGGCTTATTATACCTCTTACGCGAATACCATTTAACTAACGTACTATTCGGGCATTAACCAACGGCACATGTTATTCTCGAGATTATCCGGTAAATGTCGATATTAACATTATTCCGTACGTTAACCATGACATATTAACAATGTAAGGTGGCAATTCTTTGTTTTTTGTTGCGATTTGTTTAATTGGTAAAAATTCTTCTGAAAATTTCGGTTTGGATCTTTTGAGCGTTTCTCCAGCCTGGTAGATTCGTGGATCTGCGTATAAGCTTTTCGTTAGATTCTGATTAAAATACTTAATAAAAGTAAGTACAATTGTTGAAAGTTATTCATTCAGACTTTCAAGTTCAAAACCAAAAAGTTGATTTTTTGAGCACCTGTAAATAGAAGTGATGGGTGAAAAATTCAAAAACCATTTCGAGATATAAGCTCTTTCTTTATGCCTTTGGTGTTGAAATGCATAAACGTAGTTTTTGTGCAACTGGGAGCATGTCAGACTTTCAGCACGTTGCATTATTTTATTTTCCACTTCTTTACGAATTTTATCTGCAGCACTAATTTTTTGCTAAAACACTGACTGACAGAAAAACGAAGATAATCAAGTTTCATCAATCTTGTTTTATAGTGGCCTACTTCTAGAACCGAAATGATGACTTTGAAACGCTGTGAAGAAAACTACTCATAAATCAAGAGAAGTTTTAAATAAAACATCCAGTTAAATTAACAATGTGGAACTTTTCTACACCAAAATAATTGAAGAAAAAAAGTTAATCCTGAATTCTGAAAAAAAGTTTGAAAAAAGATGAATTCATGAATGAAAGTTCATGAATTTGAAGAATCTGTGAAGAAAACTGCTCATGAATCAGAAATTTCAAATAAAACAGTTAGATAAATTACCAACATGGCACTTTTCTGTACCAAAAAATTCATGAAAAAAAGTTCTATTCTTGTTCAGCTGCGAGCATGACAAATTATCAGAAAGTTTGCATTGTTTCATTTTCGATTCTGTAGGACCTTTATCTGTAGCACTAAAATTTTTCGAAAACCCTTACCGACTGAAAACGAATTGGATTAGAAAAGGCTTCAAACAGAACTCAAATCGCGCACAGCAATCAAGTTATCATCCACTAGCTAACTTTGGGTAAATTTGGCCGTGTCATTTTTTTTGTTGAGCGTTTAGTTAAGTTTTCGCACGTAAATTCATACTGTGATATTGAACAAATTCGATTCAATTAAATACATTTTTCTCTAAATTTAGTATTACGTATTGTATGCAGGCAAATGTCCAAATATGCAATAAAAAGTAGGGCATTTCATTTTAAAAGATCTAACTTTGGCCTGCTTGTGCATTTGAGACATCCAGTAACAATGAATTTTATCTTATAATAAACTAAACTGAAAAATATTAAATATTTTTCTCAACATTTCAATCAGTAACCCTGTACATGATATTTAGGAACAGTCAGTATATCGATCCATTCAACAAGCATGCATAGTTTTTTTATTTTGTTAATTTAGCTGCATTATTTTTTAGATCACCTTTAATTTGTCCTAAAATGAGCGACTAACGAATTGTACTAACACGCGCGATTTGTTTTCCTAGTTTTCAACGCAGTTTTTTCTTCAGAGAACCCGCAGGAGTGCCAGTCACTCAGGGTGAGGGTCAGCAACCCCCCATGATGTCGTTCAAAGCATTTCTAGCCACTCAGGATGACAACATTTCAGATAGCGAAGCGATTGAGAAATACAACGACTACAAGCTGGAATTCCAGAGACAACAGTTGAATGAGTTCTTCGTTGCGCATAAAGACGACGAATGGTAAGCGTTTTTTCGCACCGAAAATTATCGATTAATCAATAACCTTTTTATTAGTTAGCCCTCCCAATAATTAAATAGGTGATTTTGATTGAGTTGGGTTCTTTGGAGGTAAATCGCTGTGTGCAGCACTAAAGAGTGTTTTCAGTTCAGTTGTTTTATCTGCTTTTTTTCACATTCAGTCTGACTTGAACCCAACCAGACTGAAACAGCGCGAATTGATTTGTATATGTTTTTTAGTTTGTTGGCACATTGCAATAACTTGAGACTAAAAGTGATTATTGATATTGTTGGTTTTTCAAACAAGATTTTTTGGTTTTTACTCTCAATGTTTGTACGTATTAGGAAGACATGCTTTGACTAGTTCAGTAGATGGACGAAACGCGACTATTTCGAGTAGTTTTTCGGGGTTTTAGGCCGCCTTGGAAAAAAGTATCTTCTTGTCGTTTTGGTCACGTTGGTTTGCTCGTCGCAGCAATCATCTCTGAAGATGAAAGCCACTCGTGCTTGCAAAACGTCGGGAACAAACTCTTCCACTACGGCCTGGAAGCGCGAAAAACTCATCAGTTTCTAATTATAGTTTAATAAAATGTTTTTGAGGACCTTTAATAAAAGGTCCCCAAGGAAACATTTTGGAAAAGGAGGGATTTTTTTGGTTTCAATGTTAAATCATTTTTCCTAATACTGAGCAATTACTTTAACTAGTTTAGCCTTGTATCATCGCAATGAAACAAATCATCTGTCACCGCTAGACGAATGATGAATAACTCAGACATTTCTTCTGCAGCCTCGTAGAACCCCGAGACGCAGATATCTGTCAGCGTTGCAAAATTTGTGTGATGACGGCTCTATGCGCGTTTTTTAAACTCGTTATAAGTAAATACATAGAGCGCAGTCATAGGTGGATTTCCGTTACCGTTTAAAGGTCATGCGCGCAATGCATGAACCTTCGCGCGATCATTTTTTGACAGGTTTTACTGACCAGGACAGGTGAGATAGGATGTAATAAGCACAACGTCTAGAATATTAACGTTGACTGGAGTGATGTCTGAATAGGAGATGTTTGAATGGTTGTGTCGGGCAGAAAAAGCTCCTTTTTTATATATTTCTATGAAAAAACACACTTAAGTATTTTGTTATTTGATGAGCTTCTTCTGCCTGCACGGTGGAAGGAATTTCCAAACTTTACTTTCACTTTGGTAAACTGTTTACTAGCTAACCAAATACCTCCCAAGTAGCCTAAATGGTAACGAGAAAAACCGTGTTATGCCAGAAAATTGGCGTCATTCATCTGGGGGTCTTTAGAGAGAACAGGGAAAAAATTAACTTATCACAAACTGAGAAATTTGCAAAAAAGTAGATCGGAAGGTCGGCAACAGTGTTTTTCAAGGTAATATGTATCATTAACGTTACGCAAATACCTGCTGCCCCTTAAATGTCAAAAGCTCAAGTAACCATAGGTAAGCACAGAAAGTGAGGTTGAAATGCAATGAAATAGTTAGTATACCCCGTCACGTTATGTCAACAAACCCATAGAAAGTGAGGTTAAACATTGTGATCATTGGCGGTGACACGAAATTCTTAGTTATAAATTTGTGGGTCTCAAAAGAATCGTTTTGAAATGTGGACAATTCACACATTCAACCCCAACCCCTCTTGGTGGTCCGTTTTTTCTTAAGGTGACTTATTAAGTTTCTGACTGTTGACGACAATTCTGACATACTCGCTCCGATCTTGTACGGCTCTGAAAAGTGCATGAGCATCAGCACAGCAGTTCTCTTTCTCTTCCCATTCTCTTGTCTGTCCACGGAATTGTAAGTCCGGTCCTCCACTATCTGCATCAAATTATAGATTTATACTTTTATATTACTGCTTAAAAATATACTTACTAACTGGAGATTTCAGATGTTTTTAACGTAATCGATCAACTCGCTTCTTCGTTCCATTTTGCTACTTGGTTTTTTTAATGGGCAATAATTATCATTTCCCTAAGTGTAGACTATAGTTTGGAAAGTGCATGTTTTGATGCTTGTGAAAGTGTCAAAAGCACAGCTTTACATGCAGTTGCTGCAACTAACTTTTTGCCTTTTTGGGGCATCTTTTTAGGTTTAGAATCAAGTATCATCCGGAAGAATCGGTAAGGCGCCGCGAAGAACAGGCGACAGCCTTGAAGGTAGCTGCTCAAGTCGTCATAGGGAAAATTAACTAAAAAAATATGTGCTTTTAGCGCCGCCTAGAAGTGTTTGTGGACTTGCTCAATTCCGGCAAAATCGAGAGCACCACTGTCGACTGTTCTCAGACGACCAATCTTCTGAAGCTCTTGGATACTGTGGTGATTAAACTGGAAGGGGGCACTGACGAGGACTTGGAGTTGCTTGAAAATGAGTATAAAGGTGTGCATTTTATTGAAAAAATTCGTGGTTAAAGGGGTCTTCAAAATCCTGCCAGTTGCTATATATTTTTTGAATTGAACAGAAATGGAGGCAAAATACCGGGAACAGAAGGAGAAGGAGGCAGCAGCTGAAAAGGCAAGAGAAGCCAAGGCTGCAGAGGATGCAAAGAAAAACCACGAAAAATCAGTAAGTGGCTGTAACCTTTTCTGGATATTACTTTAGTAAAACCTTTTGTAACTCCAGTCGGAGGAAGTGAAGGTAAAGCTCGAGAATGAGGACCCGAAAGCAGAAGCCAAGACAAACGGCGAGAAAAACAACACTGACGATGAGGCAGGAGGTAAGATACTACACATTAAATCCCAGGTTTCAGAATATGTGATAGCGTTGATGTGAATTGTTTCGGCAGAACTGGTTGACAAAGAGGATGGGGAAACTGATGAAAAGAGCCAAGATGGACAGTCGGAGGTAGTGGAAAAAGGTGCTTTAGATACACAAGAAAAAGAGAAATCGGTCACTGAGCCAGAGCCCAAACCACAAAGCCCAGCCGCCGAGGAACCAAAAGATGTAGAGATGAAGGATGAAAGCGACCAGGTCTCTAAGAACGCCGAAGAAGACGGAGCTGCAAAGAACAATCTGGAGGAAAGTTCCACGAAGCAGAATGAGAAGCCTGCTAAGGAGAAGAAGAGAAAGCGCTCCTACTCAGGTAAAATTCACAAGCGTTCACTCAGTCAAACACTTTTGCAACTAACAACATTTTTTTGTTGCAGGAAGCAGCAGCTCTTCGTCAAGCTCCAACAGCTCAAGTGACGACGAAAATCCCGAGGAAAAAACCGAAAAAAAGGACCCAGAAGACGGCAAAGAAAAAGAGAAAAAAGAGGCAGATGATGGGGACAACACTGAGAAGGATGATGTCGAAGTCATTATAGACGATAAACCGGAAAAACCACGAGCCCTGCATAAAACTACATCGATATTCTTAAGAAATCTGGCACCCACAATCACCAAACAGGAAGTCGACGCTATTTGTACCAGGTACCATGGATTTTTGCGAGTTGCTCTTGCTGATCCGCAGCCGGAAAGACGTTGGATGCGCCGCGGATGGGTTACCTTTAAACGTGACGCAAACATCAAAGAGATTTGCTGGAATCTCAATAACATCCGGTTGAGGGAGTGCGAGCTCGGCGCAATTGTTAATCGGGATCTAAGTAGAAGAATTCGACCTGTCAATGGTATCGTGGCCCACAAGCAGGTCGTTCGATCGGACATCAGAATCGCTGCCAAAGTTACTTTGAACTTGGACGCCAAGGCCGGGTTGTGGGTGGAAGATGCCGACAAGAAGGATAAACCACAGCAAACGTTTGGATTGGTTTCGAACAACCCAGTTCTACACAACATTACTGACTATTTAATAGAGGAAGCCAGCGCAGAGGAAGAGGAATTGTTGGGGCTGGAACCCACGTCGGAGAATCAAGAGGCGGTCACTACAGTTGATAGAGATGAAAATCTTATCGGGGTAAATATACTAGCCACCTTTTTATTTAACATTGAAAAATGAGATTAAAAATAACTTTTTCCTTTTTGTCTGAATAAATCCCAACTAAATTTTGCTCCTAATATGAATGTGATAATCTTTGATTGTTCAGGGAGCCATTTTTGTTTATCGGTTATCAACTGTGATATTTTGTTGCAGGTTTTGGATAGAATTATTCTGTATTTGAGAGTAGTTCATTCAGTCGACTATTACAATCACTGCGAATACCCGAATGAAGATGAAATGCCAAACAGATGCGGCATTTTGCATGCACGGGGTCCACCCCCAACTTCCAAAGTAAGTTACCTTAATTAGTTTATGCAGACACTTTATTTGGCTCATCCTGTATATGTTTGAAACACATGAACAACATGAATAGTTTTTGCAATAGTTAGCAAATTTCTCAGATTTCACAAAAACGCAAATTTTAATCGTACAAGTCAGGGTTGGTTTGTATTGTATGTCATCACTTTGTTTCAGACGGACATGACGCAATTTATTGGGACCGCGATCGAGTCAAAAATGTCGAATTTCCTGCCCGAGAAGCCGACTGAGGACAAAGACAAACATGAATCCAAGCTGGTGTTTATGGCGTTGAAAGACGTTGATACGGAGGTGGATAAATTTGTGCAGGCAAACACTCGAGAATTGGCGAAAGACAAGTGGCTTTGTCCATTATCGGGGAAAAAGTTCAAAGGTCCAGATTTCGTGCGCAAGCATATCTTCAACAAGCACGAGGAGAAAATTGAAGAAGTTAAAAAGGAAGTTGAATTCTTCAACAACTATCTGAAGGACCCCAAGCGCCCGATGCAGTCGGATTCTCCACAGCCAAGGCGAGAAGAAACTCCAGCATTCAATCACTCGAGTTATGGAGGATTTGGAGGCGGCGGCGCTGGAGGTGGATATGGCAGGCCACAGCCTTATTACAATCAAGGATTTGGACAAAGATCCCGAGGTTACGCACCTAGAGCAAGGTAAGAGTTTGTTCAGTAATAACTGCCTGTTTTCCGTTCCTGAAATTGAAGTCCTGCAGACAAATCACACTGCAATCGTTCTGCTAGTTGATTTGTTCTTTTATTTTAATTTAGATGAGATCGAAAAGCAGATAAAGTTTAATGGGCACATAATCAGCCGTATTTTTAACTTTCCCTGCTTAGTTTGAATTTTGAGTTCCGTGTGCAGATATAGTAAATTTCCTGTCAGTTCCACTTACTGCATACATTCGCGTTAATGAAGGTGCGTTAGTCAGTTTAAGGAGAAGAACTCCGATAAAAACACGTAAAGGTTGATTCTCACTATGCGCTCAGCTACGGTACGGTTACTATCCTGTTGCGGTTGACAATTTGGACTAGTGTTCATATTATACAGTCAACTGCTTTCACGCTGAATCTAATATTTTCAGGTTTATTACCAAAATTATCGGCGTTGTAACATGGATATATTTTCGTTAACAGATTTAGCTGCAAGCAGCAGCTTGTTATATGTTGAGATGATGAAGAATGCGAAAAGAAAAAACGTAATAAGTTATGGCTTCACAATGTTTTAAAAAAGCGAAAAACTGCAGGGGAGTGTTTCACGTTATGTAACGGACTTGTGGATGATGAGTGAACATTTTTCCAATATTTTCGCATGACAAAATATACATTTCAGTATATTTTGTATAGAACTTTAAATTACTTTAATTTAAATGCCCGTACAATCGATCTTAAAACATAAACTCTATCTAGTCGTCATCTATCAGACTAGGCCTGGGTAACTCAGTGATTTTTTAGGAGTTGTTTGCGCAGTGCTGCGCAAATGGCTTGATGCGCCAACCCAAGGCACTGACGCAGTAACTCAGTAACAGTTGATTTGCTGGAAAAATGAGATTCGTTTTCAGTTCAAAAGTTTTCAGATTTATTTTAAGGGCCATTTATTAATAATATATTTAAAATTTCGAAGAGATTTCAGAATTTTCAATTTTAGCAAAGTTGCTCTTTCTGCAATTTGCTTCTAAAGTGTCAGTTAAAAATACTGACAATCTTCAGGCAATTTTCGCGAAAAATTATAAAATTAATTTTATTAGGACACTTACCTCCTTCGTCGCTTTGCAAAAAGTTTTCAAATCTCTTTCTAGCTTCGAAGTTTGGACAAAAAATAAATATTTTTTTATCAAACAAAGATCAGAATAAGCGAACAAAGATCAGAACTCGTCACCCGTATGCCTCTGAAGACTGTCGATTTTGTTAAAAAAAACTGTTGTTTTGGAGTTTTGGCTGATTTTTTTTCTTGCTTTACTTTCTTCTCAAAAACGCTCTATTTTGTATAATTTCACTTAAAAATACTGACAATCTGGAGATTTTACGCGAAAAATTACACGAGAATTTTATAGCTTTGTAGAAATTTTACAAAAAGTTTTTTCAGAGTCTAATTCGGCACAAAAACGAAAATAAATTTCTTCCGTTTTTCTCCGAAAATCATTAAGGTTTTCTCAAAAACCGGTCACAAAACTGAATGTTTTTAATCAAAAGTGCAAAAAACGATATTTTCTGATACTTTTCGTCTGTTCAATCAATCATTCAGGGTCTTCAGCGAAAAATTACAGAATTAGTTTTGTTAGAAAATTGGCCTCATTCTTCGCTTTGCAGGGAATTTTACAAAACTCTTTTCAACTTCGAATTTAGCACAAAAATAATTTCGAAAATTCGCGACTCATCGCTCTGAAGATTTTAAAAGTTTCTTTAAAATTTCATGTCTCCGGTTTTAACAAAGTTTTTCTTAAGCTATTATTTCTACGCAAAAAAATGCATTCTTTTCTAAAGTTTTCCTTATGAATACTGACAATCTTATCTCATTATAAATTAAATTTTATTGAAACACTCGCCTCCTTAACCGCTTTGTAAAAAAATTTGGAATTTGAAAAAAAATCGAAAAGCCTAATAATTTTTTATGAGGTTTTTCCCAAAAAAAATCCGACAACACTCAAAACAAAAGAAAACAAAAGTTTCAGAACAAAAGAAACTTTATAATCAATTATTTGGAAACTTCATCACCTTCGTCGCTGTGAATAATTTGTTTTTTTTTTATAATTCTGATTTGTTCACTTTTGGTTGTACTGTAAAATAGTGGCAAACAGAGAGTCTCTTATGCAAAAAAAATGAGAGATCGAATTTACAAGAAAACTCTTTGTCTTTATAGTTCGGTCTTCTTTATGTTCTTTTGGGGTCTTTGTCTAATAGCTTCGAAATTGGGACAAAATCGAAACAAAGTTCTAAATGTTAAAGTTCTCAAGCTTATCGCAGTAATCTGACACATAAATAAACCGTGCCTTGGTTTATCGGTTCTTTCGTTTGTTTTCTTACGTTCAAAATGTCCGAAGCTTGAGTAAAGCGCCAAATGTGAATGCAAATATGTGAGAATCAACCTTAAATTGAAGGAAAGTAATGAGGGGAAAATATAAAAAAAGACAACGAGAATGTCAAATTCCAGTGTTTATTTGGTTTTTTTTTTGAGAAAACTTAATTTATTTTTGACTGAAAATACATTTTTAAGGAGTCATTGAGGGTTAACATCCATTTTGATGGATGTTTTACTAGTGTTTTTTCTTACAACGAATATTTGGTAGAGTAGTTGGTTTCAATGTGATGTTGTTTCCAGAGGAGGACCTGGTGACTTTGGCAGGCCGATAATCCACTATAGAGACTTGGACGCTCCCAGGGAACCTGAGGAATTTATCTAAATATTTACCATCCGTCACATTTTATACCCCTAAATATACGCGTTTTCAAAGTTCAAGCTTGAATATACAGCAAACTGAATTCATGTATATTAATTATTTTAAGAATCATTAAAACACGTTAAATTGTCTTAAGTTGAATAGAACTTTTAATGCAATGATGTTTGAGGAATAATCGATGCAGTTGCGGGGTGAATCTGCTTTTCTTCATTTAATCCACCTCGACGAAGGCACTAATTGTAAGTTTAGATGCGACTACTGTGAATATCAGGTATTTGTAGTTTTATTAAAGGAATAGGAACAATTTGTGTCTACATTGAGAAGTTTCATTAATAATGTGTTCCAATTTAGCGCTCGCTATACAGGGTGATTTCAAATCGGTGTCAGTATGCGACTTGTATGAGGAAAACAGAGTATAGTTGCTTAGGAATTAATGTTGTTTTCCACATACACATCCAGAGGTATGAGCATTTTGAATCACGCTGTATATAATGTCCTCTCCATCCTGTCTAATTTTTAGGTATTTCCTTTCCCTTCAATTCTAAATCGATGGTGTTCTGGTTAATTAATTAAATTTAAATCTGCCTAGTAATGTTCAATGCATCATTTGTAGTTTCGGTACATATACAGGGCGCTGGTAATAACGGAGTAATAATACTGATCCAGAAAGTGTTTATTGCTATTTCTGAACCTTTTCATCCACCATTCCACCTTGAGAATAAATTCTTCGTTGCTGTAGGCGATGGTCCCCATAACAGTTAGCGTTACATTTCCTTTGGATATTTTGGCGAAGGTACCATTTATCCATAGCTTATTTAACCCTGTTTCTCTTTTCCCTATTTAAATTATTAGGAATTATCGAAATATATTTTTTTCTTGGTTTTTGTGTTGTTAACTTTCAGCATTTGATTCTAGAGCGAAAAGCGGATAAGCCCCTACATACGTTGATGGAGCCTCCCACCGATGGGGCACCCATTCACGTCGCCTCTTTATCGTTCGCAATGCAATTGAAACGGCGATTTATCATTTTTAATCCTCGCACGGACCCTGGGAAGGAAATAATTATAAATAACGCTCCGCCGTAATTGATTCCCGCTCCACATGACTAGGCAAATGCAAATAAATGGAATTCCTCAGGATGAGTATCGCACCTGCAAGAAGGTGCCCCAGGTATTCTCGACGCCCACGCGAACCACGCTCGCAACAAGTGTTTTTCTTCGCTTCCCGCCGGTTCTTCTTCGGCTTGTGGGTCAAATCTATATAAACGCGACTACGCCATCGGATCATCATTATTTTTGTTAAAATTCATCTTTTATTTGCAGTTCCACCACGATCGAGCTTTTTTCTTGCATATTTAACGGGCGCTTGTTATTTAACAGTCGCATCGGCAAACTGCAATTTTGCGATCATTCACTTCAAAATTACCTCGTTTCCTCTATTAACTCGCATTTTTTTTGGCTGAAAAAATCGAGGAATTAATGTAGGTTTCATATTGATTCTTGGTACGAAATTATCATTTGGCCGATCCGTTGGGAATTATTAAACTTCGGAACCGCCCAAAGGTTCTAGTCGCCGGCTCAGGCCGAGTACCGGGTCGTGTAATGGCCCACGATTCACCTTTGAGCCACATTTTAAATTGAATATAATTATCAATTATGAGAGTGCAGTCTGTGATTTTCTCAGCGAATTAATTAAACGCTTCGATATGGAAAAGCTGTCTCTTATCGCTTTTTAATTGAAAATCGCCCGCCTGCATGAAAGTACATAAGCGTGTTTTACAATTAGAGCATTCGAATTCTCCAGTAAAATATCCCCAAATAAACACATACCATCCCCATTTATCAGTGGGATTAATTGCACTCTAAAGATGAAATAAAATACTCTTTCAGGTTTGCATTGTTTATTTGATCGGTTTCGGAATTTCAGGCAAAAAATTGTTTACGTTTCACATGTTTGATTTCGGCGCATCTGCAATGCGTGCAATATTCTTAATCTTTGTTAATGAATAATTTTACTGCAAGTATGTTCGTTTTATATCGGTTTTGAGACTCAAAGTGATGGTTTTGTGCTATGATTATGGGGGCATTTTGCGGGTTTTCTACAACACTGCAGGGTGAGTCTGCATGTTTAAATTTATTTTTAGGGCATTTCTGGGTTTTAGTCATGAAACAAAAACAAAATTCGATTCAAGTTGAGTATTCGGTTTATTTGTCTACGAAACGATTTTGTGTGTTTTTGACTACACTTTTCCTTAAAATTGGCTTCGGAATTATGCATAAATTTCAACTCCCGGTCGTTTTGCCGTTAATATAGGCACATGGGAACCTGTACGAAAAACGGCGAAATTATCACAATATTTTTGCCGGTAAAAATCAAACGATTTCAGCTTTAGTGTATACATTTTTGCCTTTTTTGTAATTGCTTATCATTAAAATACTCGAATTTGAAGAAATATGTCTACAATGTCCCTAAAAATGCGACCTGTGTGAGTGGAGAAGAGGACATTTTTCTAATACATGAAAATGGAGTGGACAACAACTTAAAAAATTACTCAAAAATGATCACATGAAAGTGTTGATAGAAAATTTGATGTATTTTTTTAAGATGTTAATATATATTCTTGGTGCTCGCTGTATGTGCGGCGGCTGTACATTTGTTGCGTCTGAAACCGTGTATGATTGTTTTATATTTATAATTGTTTTCTGTGGCAATCTTTAGACGTTTCATTTTCTGGGTCTTATTCAAAATAAGACTAAAAAATGAAGTTGAATTGAATTTATTGCTATATATATTGTTTATGTTATTGTTAATTTTGAACTAAAATTATTGCAAAGAAAACATTTCAGTCAGAAGGTGTTTTAAAGTCAATTAATCTACGTGATGGGAGCATTATACAAAGTGTAATTAATAAATTCGAGGATTTGAAGTCTGGTTAGCAGGATAAAGCTTTAAATGCAAAAATTCGCAGAAAGCGAAATGATTTCAAGTGGCTTGTTCCAAACATTCCAAGCTTATTTGAAGGTACTTAGTTTTTTTAACGAAAAAGTAATTTTTTTGTCACCGATCGCAGTTATTTTATTATATTTTTAAAAGAAAAGTTTAATTGCGTTTTAGATCACACACTTACACGTAATTTTATCCGTTTTTTACACACTTTTTGAAATAGTTTTCTTTATAATGGATACATATGAGAACAAACCGTTTTAATTTTTTTAACGAATCGAAAAATGCAACTAGCGTTTTAAAATCTTATATAAATATTATACAAGAAAACATATTTAATGCGTGAAAATATACAATTTCCCACAATATGGCATGTTCTCAATTTTTGAAAGCATTAAAACGTTTGCATTTTTTTAAATTTTCTAAAGCCGAAACCGACAGAGAAACGAATAAATTCTGAGCATAAATGCTAAAGATGCGCCGAAAGTATATAGAGCAACATTTTTTCAAAGGCAAGGTTTTAACGAAAGTAAAGTTCAAATAGTTCACGTTGTGTGATTTTATTTTTGGAATTTTTAATTGTTATTGTTATTAAAACGCATAAATGTTTATGTTTTATTGAAATGCAACAAAATACTGTTGAATATTATTTGTTAACTCTTAATTTGAACGAATAGTTAAAATTAATTTAAATTTGAATCTAATGCCTGTAATAGAATATATTGCAGCAGAAAAACAACTAAATTAATTTTGGAAATGTAAATGCAGTTCAGTCCGGGAAAGTGATGGAGATTCTCTTAAAACTCTTTTGTGTATTTGATTAATCGTTCTAATACCCCATACGCACAGAAAATCAGGCATTTTTTCATAAATCGCCCAGAGCTACTTACTTTCCTCACTTTTTGTTTAATTTTCTTCAGGTTTGTTCCAGTTATATTTTTATACAGGGTTATTCACGCTATACGGCACGGACGTTTGCGGCTAAACCGTTTGTTTTATTATTTGATGAATCCACAGACGCCTATCGGGTGCACATTTTACAAATATTTTTGTAATATACAGAGTGTCCCAAAAGCCTTAAAAGTATCAAAGTTTTGTTTTTCTAAATGAAATACCCTATATATTATTGCATTTTTGGATTCTCTGAGCAAAATAAGTGTTTGTTTTAATAAGATTTATAATGTCTAAAT